ACACAAAACCACCCACAACCTAAAATAAGCTCCAGCAGCAAACCAGTGTGAGAATTCATGGAAGACCTCAGCAGAAGAGAGAAATACTCTTTACAAATCATGGCTTTTGCAGCAGTACCATCAACCCAGAGGCAGGAGCAGGAGGTTTAGTCCCAGGATGGTACAAACAGGAGCAGGAGGAGAAGCCAGGAGCTCTGCCTGCATTTCTGCTGCTCAGATGGACTTCCAGTGTTCCTTCAGCATCTGTGCATCCCACGCTGGCTCAGGGAGGGAACTGCAGAGAACAGATTCAAACCTCTGTGGGAAAGTGCCACCAGATATCCCCTGTCATCCCTTTGACATGATATTCTTCTGACTGAGAACAGCATTTGCCAGGAAAGCAAGAAATATGAACCTGACAGGACGAGGAGCTCTTCAGAAAGCAAAGGAAGAAAAAAGGAAACAGTGCATGAAAATATATTTCACAACCTAAAAAACAGCCAGAAAGAGGTTACCTTCCCTGTTGCAGCAACTGTCACTGAGCAGAGATTAAAGCACAGAAAACACTGCTTTTAATCCAGTGTGAGGGACTGAAAATTGCATATTCCCAGTCTGTACAAGCAAAGAAGCCACTGACATGGAAAGGAGTGTCACCCTGATTCTTAAGATTTTCTAAAGCCTTCTGAGTTTACATTCTGTTGGAGAACTTTCCCACACAATTTCTGTAAACAACATATTGTTTACATTATTTTATGGGGATAGAGAAACTTAATGTACTAATAGTTTGTCCAATGTTTTTGGAGAGGTGGCCCATTCACTCTCCAATCCGATGTCACCTTTGGGAAAGTATAAAAGGTGGAGTCAGAGAAATAAAACTTCTTCTTTACCTTGCAAATAGCAGGTGGCTCATGTCGTGCCTTCACATGTCCTACAGCAACAAAGGAGAGATCTGACAGTGTTCTCACTGCTGTAAAACCACAGTTTGCAAATGAAATTCTCATTACTGCATGAGATCATGGCCTGAATCAGCACTGTGTAAATTGGGACCATTTCTTGGAGTGGGCATGTGTGAGCTGGGCACTCTCATACACAATACAGGGATTCTGAGTTACAGCAGTATTAATGTGATTTAGCACATAAACACAGCACAGTAAAAATGCATCCTTATCCCTCCTGAGCACACAGAACAGGTCCTTCCCTCCCTCCTGGGGATTCCTCTTCCTCACCATTGCCAAATTACACCTCAAACCTGCTCATTCTGAATTTTCAAAATGAGTTTAACAACAGCTGTACAACATGAACCAATTTTTCTGATTGTGCACCAAACTTTACCATGAGGGTACCAGAAGAGGATCAAGAAGACCAGATTTAACCTTCATTATAAAAATGCATTTTAATTTAAATCCACGCTTAGCTGTGGCTTATTTAAGTTGATGTTTTGTGGCTGGTTGAAAACCAGAGATGACATTCTTCCTTCCAAGGACACCTGGGTACAGTTACCTACACACAAATCAAAATGCCATTAACACTGGAGTGCTCTCACCACAGCAGAATAACCTTTATTCTCAGGTGGGATCCAAGTATTTCAACAATGTTCACTGACAAAGGCAAGGGATGTTTCACCATGACCTACTGGGCATTTTGAGGCAGACAAGAGACATCAAAAAGCAGAAATACAATAAAATATATGTACACACATCCACACCTCTCTCTTTCTCTGTACATAAAACATGTATTTATTACTCTTAAGTTTTACTGCATTACTCTCTTGGCCCAGCTGAGTTTTATTATCAGTTCTGTGCACATTACTGGAATTTTTTTTTGGGGGGGGAGGGGGAGGGTTCTGCTTTCAAAACTGTCATGTTTAAATGCACATCTTTCATTTCAAATCCCACTTGAATAAAAAAAGTGAGCAAAATTAATTTCAGCTTTTCCTGCCACAACGATAAAGCAGCTCTGGGAGCATCACACAGCATGGGGTGTCCCAGGAATGTGGGATTTTTCAGGAGGTGATATTAATACCTGCTGGTTTGGGATGCTCATCCTAAAACACCCGAAAAGAGGCCAAAAAAGTGGAGGCAGCAATTAAAATCAGCAAGTTACACATTCACAAGATAAGCAACACTTGGTGTTAAAGATTAGTTATTCCCCAAATTGAGGATTTTCTCCTTTCCCACGTATTTCCACTGTTAAAAATAAAGGCCATGCCAGAAACAAACACTGTATTTAAAGTCTGGCAGAATTATCCCAGAGGAGCACAAGCTATAAAACAAACTTACTGAAATGACACCTTTTTTTAATGTTTTTATTCATAACAGTATTACATGGTGTGTTACAGAAATTAATGGAAAATCTCTAAAAATTTGTTGGTTTCTGTTGTTGTTGCTGAATGCATTACACATAAAGTTAAAAATAATGTGTCCGTATGTGTTAACAAATGGTCGTTATCTGAGGTAAAGTTAAAGTACGCTTAGAAATGTACTGCAACAGTCATTTTATCTTTCTCATCTTTATTAAAAAAATAAGTGTCAGAATGCAGAAATAAAAATGAATGAAAACCACGGAGTAAACATTTTTTGCAAAGAAGGTGCCCAGTACGTTATTGAGATGAAAGGTTTCATCAGACACTTGGATGACTACGATCTATCAAAATATCTTTTCATGACAGATAAAGATCAAGAACCTACGGGGGGGATGGGAACAGGATGGCTGGTGGGGTTCCCTGGTTTGTAAATTTAAAGTGACGAATTTAGTGCTAGTGAAGGATGAGGGATTAAACAATTGCACAAGCTGGATATTTGAGTTATCTACAATACTGGTACAGTGCAGAGGCCCTGCAGCCCTCTCAGCTCAGCATCCCAGCCACGACAAGGACGATCACAGGACGAGACAATCCAGAATCTGCTTTTATTCATGAGCAAAAGTAAGACAAAGGTCCGTGGTGATGGCCCAGAGACACCAGAATTCCAGCCTCATTCCCTCGGCACCTACTCGTGAGTGATCTGCTTCCTACAAATGTGATCCTCTGAGATATCAATCTCTTCTTTCCTCTGTGTTTCACCCCAGAACTGGAAATGCATTGATGACACTAAACCTCCAATATCTGTGATGAAACAAAACTGGGTTTGTGGTTCCATGAGCAGGACAAAACCCAAAAAAAAGCAGCTGAGGAAGAAAGTAGCACCACTGTGCAAATCAGGAAAATATTCTGACAGAAGTGTCCTCCAGAAACACTTTTACCTCTGCTTTTAATCCTGAAATACTCAATCCACCAAGTTTTAAATTACCTCCTCCAGTTAGAAAACTTGATCTTCCAGTGGGAAAATAAGATTTACTACAAAGCTGTTTGCACATGACTAAGGAACAAGCATCAAATGACCGTGGATGGGGATAAAATTCTCCTCTCTGCAGGTTCATTAGGTCTAGCCACAGCTAGTTTCTCATTCACATACATTCTGCAATGCACATTTCTCTAATTTCTCTAATTCAAAAGAAAAGAATGGGATCGTGTTGTGAGATTTGGTTGCACATACCAATAATCACCACTCCAGTTATTCTGCCTTCTAAACCATTTTCAGCTTATAACAGAGATGAAAGAAAGCGAAACAGTTATAACTCCAGGCCTATTTTAATCATGACAAAAATGTAGATCCTAATGTGTCAATTTCAAAACAAAATCTGCACAATAACCCTAAAAACTGATTATTCCTTTGATTTCTCTAACCTTTTTTCCTTTTTTCTTTTTTTTTTTTCTATTTTTTCTTTTTAGTGTTAAACCACTAAATTCAATATACTGTAACTGCATAGGAACATCAGGAAAACACATTTGACCTGTATAACAATTCTCTGTAGGGCAAAAATATATAGATTCTTTATGAAAATCATGTGCTAAACATATGAACCCAAACACTGCACTTTTTGCTTCATAAATGTAAAAAAACGAAGTTTTAAATTCTTTTTGTTCTGCGTGTAAACAGTTGGATGACTTCCATGCAGAGGTTCAGAGGAATGTCAATGGAAAGTGATCTCTTGTAAGTGGAATTATGTCCATGTGATAATGCTAGACCATAAAATCATGTGTTCCCATTAATTTCACTAGCTGCTGACAAGCTGACTGCTTTTGGCAAATGCACTTGAGCTTCAGCCCATTATTGTTAAGCATGTGAAAAACATATGTGATGTGAGAACCACAAACTGGGTTTGCCACACCTCCCAAGCACCGCAACTTGCTACCTTCTCTACTGTGTAATGGCATTAGTAAAAGAATTTTCATAACATTTATATTTACAAAAAAAATGGCAATTTTCATTCAAACTCCTTAAAGCCATTTCCCCTTAAACATTTAAAGAGTTTAACAGTAAGATTTTTTTTCAAGTTATAAAATAAAAATCCCATTTGATTTTTTTTTCTGATGTACAAAAAGTGATAAAGATGAACAATTTTGATCACAGAGTCAGTTTGTTATTCCAAAATCCATGCCGTCCTTGTCCCACTTGTCAAGTCCTCTTCATCCAAACTCCTAAACCAGAAGCATACCAGTATTATTTGGCAAATGATTTCTTTTTTTCATCAAAAATGGCACACAGAGAAGAAAACACTTGTCTGCATAGCATTACAGCAGCAAGATATTGAAGAAATAAAAATATTCCTTTTCTGCACTTTGTTTAGAGTTTCCTAGGAAATACTGACTCTTTTGTCTTTCCTCAGTGGGACTTGATGTCCTTTCTGTACCCACAACAGGAGTATTCCAACAGAAAGCAGCATTTCTTCCTCACGATGTGCTAGAACTTAAAGGTCCATTTGGCAACATTTTCAGTCAAGGATGGATAAACAACTGAGTTCTGTTCTGTGGTTTCACATTGGGAATCATTTCCGCAGGAGGCGTTTCACTGTTAGATGTGTCACTCATACAAAACTAGAGTAAGAAATACATTAAAATAAAAAAAAATAATTAAAAAAAAAAAAAAAAAAAAAAAAAAAAAAAAAAAAAAAAAAAAAAAAAAAATAAAAAAAAAAAAAAAAAAATAAAAAAAAAAAAAAAAGAACAAAAAGGACACCACCAGTATTTTGTTGTTGTTTTTAAATACGTCTACACAGGGAGAAAAAAAAAAGGGTCAAGATCTCCTGATGTAAATGAAGATGAAAGACATGTCACCGTGACATAAAAAGTGCCAAGTCGTGCCCCAAAGGCTGTTGAATGATAATGCCACTGCTACATACAGACTCTGCTTTTTGCTGAAAAGAAAAAAGAAGGAATGTCTAACGCCCAATAAATTTCAGATGCTCGTTATTTATAGGTGGCACACAGAAGGTGACAAATATTTAAAAGAAGATCAAGGAGTAGGATTTCCTAGTCTGGATACCCACCACTTGTGGGGACGGGGCTGCACTCGTGGTATGAGAAGCAGGGAGAGTTTTTGTTTTGTGCTGCCACAGGAATCTGCCATTGGTTGCCAAAAAAAACCACATCAGGAACACTCGTAGAGCCAGTCCAGGAGGGCAAACTCTCTCCTTTGTCAGACAAAATCAATCGGAAAAAAAGCATGAAAGCCAAAGGCCCGCCAGGTTGTTGGGTTTCGTTTGAGTCTTGGAGCACCACAAGCCTGTAACAATGCTATTTCTTAGGTCTGTTAATCTGCGCGTAGAGAGGTTCTGCTTCCTGGGGATAACAAAAATAAAATGAGCAGACATGTCTCCAGACAGCATTTTCAGAACATTTTTACAACATCTGCTTGAGAGCAGCGATACCTTGTGAGTCAAAACCCACAGGAAGTGTTTGCTTTCTGTGCTGCTCGAGTGGGGAAGAAAATGGGAATTATTTCAGAAAATGGGTGTTTTCTATCCATTTCCTCCTCCAGCACTGGCCATGCACTGACCCTCACTGCCAGGCATGGACATATGAAGGAATTAAATGCTAATTTCCAGGGCTGGATGTTTGGAAGTTCAGAGGCCGGAATTGCAGCCCGTGTACAAGGCTGAGTTTCCTCCCAGCAGCACAGCAGCAGAACATAACTGTGGGTTTTGCACAACTCCAGAGAAAAAACCACTTGCAAACAGAAACTGCCACGGAAAGCTGAGCTAATGAAGCTGGGATGGGATTTAAAACAACATGAGTGGCCCATGAAGAACGAGGAGTGCCAGCCCTGCGCAGTTGGATTAGGAGTCTGTGGAACCATTAGTACAATCCTTAAAGCTGGGAGGAAAGCATGTCAACTGGTTAACAGCTACTTTCTTGGGAATTTTCTGGATGTGGGAGGGGGGAAAAGCTGCCTGTTCTTCAGCTGTTGTTTCGTAGATGACACACCCTGTGCTTTCTTTACACTGTGTTCATCTCGGCTGAGGCGGGTAGCAAACCATCCGTAGGCCCTGGAATCCACCCTACTTCATTTCCAGAAACTAATTTATTAAACTAAGAATGACATCTAAAAAAGGAACAAGACAGGCAGAAAGGCTAATTAATGCCACACTGCATTAACTCTGTACAGCTTGAGAAATATCCAAATACCACGCCACAACGTTGTATTTAACCAAGGTAGAATCAACTCGTGCTACAGCAGCACAGGCAGGAGCTAACTTTTGAGAAAAAAAAAAAAACAAAACTGAGAAGGTTGGCAAATCACTGGGCATTGAGCAGCACAGACAGGCCTGCCAGGGGATGGCACAGGGTTTTAATCACTGTTTGTCAAAGTGATGCTGGGGATAAGGAGAACAACCTCAAGGTGGATGCACTGGGTGCTCTGTGCTCAGGGTGCCTGGCCATTGCTCCAGGCTCTGCCCCATCCCAGTGCCCTGTCCTGCCTTACAGTGCAGGAACACACAACAAATCCAAAATTTGACCTGTTTCCTCCATGCCAAGGAAATTTATCTCTAATTTCCCAAAACTGCTGCATTTCTGGAGCTTGCAGACACCCTGCCTCCCCACCCCCTGCCCACGTGGAGCCCTGAGTATGCTACAAGCACTGTAAGTGAGAGAAACCCTCTGGAATGATTAAATAAATGCTGCTTAAATTATCCCCAGCAAGAAGCAAATACATTTTGTGACCTTGAAAAAACTGAAGGTAATCAAAGGAGATGACTGAGAGTAAATAACTGCTTTTCACACACTGTGAGTTAAGTCTACCTATGCCAATTTTCACGTGCAGGCTTGAAGCTGGCAGAATGATCTATCACAGCTAGTTCAGAGAAAATCTGTACTAATTAATGTGTGAACCTGACACACACCAGGCCATTCTTCAGGCAGTTGCTGAACCTAAGGTCATTGCAAAGGGAAGTGAAAAGGAAGGAGGAGAAGAAAAGGAGAGGGAGGGAGAACATCCCTTTGAAACAAAAGATGTCAGTTTTTCAAATGCCTTCAGGGGAAAAAAGAGCTTTTCAAAATGTCAAGTCTGCTTGTTAGAGATGTCCTCAGATATTCTTCAGATATGCAGAAGTGCTGAAGTAACAGGTGTCCTAAGGTGCCACTGGACTCCACACCCTTGGAAGAGGAGGAGGAGGAGCTCCTCATCAGCAGCAGCACTTCCAACAAGCACAAGACAGCCTTTACAGTGAGAAACTTCTTAATTCATACCCAGCATTTATCTGTACAAACACCTGATGTGGCAAAGGCCTGCATTTCTCACTGATTTGAATAATTTCTCTTCCAGCAGACCAGAGCATTTTTGCATGAAAAGTGTGCTCTTGCTTCTTCCTTTCAGTTGATTTCTCCTTTCAGATGCCTAAATGAGAAATTAATTGCAGTAATTGTGTGCAGTCTTCCCAGTCAAAGGGTTTTGGTCAATGCCTAAGATTTGTTTTCTAGTATTGTTTTGAGCCAATTCAAGCTTTTAGCCCAACAATGCAAATGGTGTCTGTAAAATATTGGTACTCAAGAGGACAAAAGAGAGCAGAAAGGGACGGGAAAGAGGCAAAAGGAGAGCTGAGTGCTGTTGACTTCATGGACAGCTCCTCTCAAAGTGCCAGGCACTATTTTGGAGTGTCTTGAAAGCAGAAATAACCTCCCTTTTTTTACATAATCCACACAAAAGTCACAGGGCATGTTATGAAGAGGCAGGAGAGCATTAACTCTCCTCACAGCATCTCACCACATTTTCTACCTTCTACCACTGCATTAGGAACAGACACAGAGGGAGGGAAGGGAAAGAACTGGTCTTTGTCAGAACAAAAAGAGAGGAACAAATAAAAGAGCAGACAAAGCTTCTAATTCACATAAACCCCTCAAATCTTACAGTGCTCTCCTTGCTGAACTGGCCCAGAATCACTTCTGTGATTCATCAACCCACAGGGAGAAACCAAGACAAGAACTGGAAGCACCTTTTTTTTTTTAGCTGCTGTATTCCAGAAACACTTCATGCTGCAATTCACTTTATCCTTCCCATTTTAAGGGGGACAAAACAGCAGCAAACACCATTTCTGGTGTAGTCCACTACTGTGTGAGGCAGCAAGGGTGCTAATGCTTTAGAATAACATGATGCAAATGCTAGAAGTAAATTTGCATCCCATTTGAAGATTTCAACACCTGCTCCCCAGCAGAACTAATCACTGGAGAGCATCTCCTGAAAGACTCAGCATCCACTTGGGCTTGAAGAGGTGAGCTAACTCCCAAAACATAACTGTGGGTGAGGAAGGAACTATTTTTTACCCTGGCAGCCCTTTGATCACTGCGAGGCACCTGCTCCATGCAGAGCTGCAGGCAAGATGTTCTCAGCTGAGGAGGTGAGGCCCGCACAGATTTCCATGCCCTTTACAGCCACTTTTACTCCTGGCTGACTGATCAGAAAGGGCAGGCTCAAATGATAAAGAGTTTCATGAAATAAGTGTGCTGGAGAGCCACACAAAATGAGCATCTTGTGCCGGGGATGCAAGTGAAGGGGGTGGGTGTGCGAAGCATCTTCTCTGTTTTTTTTGCATGCTGACCGTAGGCAAAATAGGGCAGAGTAAAGTTGGCAAGCGGGGTTGAAATTAAATATCTTTGGTGATAAGACAGGTCATTCCTGTTGCCCCATTAACAGCCAGTTTTTATTGATTACTTATTATTACTTATTAGTATTTGGTTATTTTTCTTACAGCCTACATTAGCAGCATAAATACAGCAACCTTCTAGTTCAGGATTATGCCTCTATTCTTATCATAAACCTACTTAGGAATATTTCCTAGTCTCAAATATCCAGTTGAATTATTAGCATTCTAAAAATCTCTGTCGTTTTAGTAGCAAGATGGATGTTGTACATCCATGAGATGAAAATGCAGTGACAACTACTCAGAAAGAAGAACCTGCCCCATATCTTAGTCCTGATATAAAAATGAACTGCAGCCAAGAAACACTGATTATTTCTGGGCCCCTCTCCCAAAACAGTGGCCACACCATTAGTTCCATCTACAGATCTGTCATCCACATATCCTTCCATCTACATATCTGTCAATCCTCCTTCATAACAATAGAACCTAATGGCCAATTTGAAGCAAGTTGTTCAGAAGTCTCAAAGACGCTAAATTTTTACAAGTAGATTTTTGAAATCAGTTGTCATGCAGAAGACAGGGAACTTTTAAATTACCTCATCACAGAGGAAATGATGAGAGCTTGTCCCTAAATTGAATTGTTGGGCTGCAAATCAGCAAGAACACAGCTCTAGAGAAGCTACAAAGAATGTTGTGTCTTGTTTAGAAGAAGAAGTTGCAGAAATGGGAGGGCACAAGGTGACCTCAGGTGGGCTGGTGACACTGAAGAGGTGAGAAGCCCTTGTATGAGCTGGCCACATGAAAATGGACAGCTTGAAGAGCAGAGGTGAGGGCAAACCTGCAGGATGCCCCTGTTCACAGAGCAGCCTGAACTTCTCAGCTCATGCCCCTCTGTATTTCTAGGAGATAGGAACAACCAACTGAGCAGGAGACCTGAAATGTTAATTTTAGGATTTCTCTGGAGTGAAGCAGGATGTCCCAACCTGTGATCCCCTTCCAAAGACACAACCCTACTTCTCTCAGGCTCCCAGCCCTGCTCAGTGCTGCTTTAGCTAGAGAATGACAGCTTTAGAGCCTACAGCAAGAACAGGTCACCTGTAATTAGGAATTTCTCTTTGGACTTTATCCAGTTCCAACTGAGCCAGGTGAAAGAGTGGAACAGGTCCTGCAAACACAGACTTTAATATTTTGAGCTATTTGGAGTCCTGGTGCAACAGAAAAGGGGCAGAAGCAAGAGGAGGATACAGAATCAGCTTGATATGCCCTCCTGAGGCTCACTGAGCTCCCAGGTAACCCAAGCCCTTGTCCATAAATTGCTGTTTTCTCTCCACTTCCTAAAACCAGCCCAAATAAAAGAGTTACAGCAGCCCATCCCGGACCTAACTAAGATTTTTTAGGAAGATTTATCACCAAGCACAGCACTTGCTCCAAGATGGATGATGGCAGTGGGCCACCAAAGCACCACCAAAAGCTGATAGACAAATATTCTAATGAACTGTTGCTCTCCTGACAGTGCTGATGGCATTGTGAAGGGTGTGACACGTTTTGAGAGCTCCTAATTGTCTGCACACATTTCTCAAAACAACTGAAGGATTTTTTTTCAGGGAGACACGCTCTAGCCACAAATGTTTTGAAGGTTTCTTGAAAATCTCTCATGAATGATTGCCAGTGCAAGTTTAGAGCTGGGCAGCAGCTCAATAGAGCTGATTTTACTCCTCTGTTCAAACTCCCTGCTTTAATGTAAAATGTCAACAATAAGGAATGTTTAAGACATTTGGTAAGATCACAGCTAAGAAACAGTTCTTTCCCTCTCTCTCCTTTCACCACAGTAACTCCCCACATAATGTAAAGACAGCAGTGGGGATTAAACAGATAATCTGAAGGTGGCAGTCATTTTATTCTGTGTTCTCTTCAACCCTTCTGCAAAATCACTATCTGTCCTCAACAGCATGCATGAACAAATGGAAAACAACCAAATACAATAAACAGCTCTGCAAAGAGTTGATCTCATTTTACCTATGGAAGTTGGACCTTTCTGCTTCTTATTTTTAACCGTAAAGGGACAAAAATGTAATATATCCATAAAATGTCACATTTACCTACTAAAATCTCACCGCTATTTCTGGAAGGGTGACTTCTAGCAACAGCTGCTTTTGGAAGGATGAGAATTTTGAGAGCTGAAGTGGAAGATTGCAAAAGGAAGAGTGGAAAAATAGGAGAAAAGAAGATAATAACTAGATGATAATTTAGAGTATCAGAAGGAATCAAGAAACCAAATTATCAAGATGAATAATTTAGAGTATCAGAAGGAATCAAGAAACCAAATTGTTGCGGTACCTTGTAAGATCAGAGTACAAAAAAACCAGGCAAGTGGATATTCTGCATACATCAAGATAAATAAAGATGTGGTATGGGCAGAGCTGATTTCAGAGATGTGGGAGCAGACAGATTTGACATTTCTGCACACAATGCTCTGTTCCTGAGAGGTCCATTCAGCTGAGTTGTGACTGTGCAGTTCCTGGGGTAAGAACCACACTCTAAGGAGCGAAGTAATCTCCCATCTAAGCCACAAAAGTGGCTTTTATGCAGACTGTGATTCTTTTGCACGACATGTTTCTCCCCATTAAGTTTCTCTCCAAATGCAGAGCTCAATACACAACTCCACAGTAAGTCCTGAATGGATAATTTTCCATGGAGATTAGACTGCCCGTTGCTCTGATGGCACCAGGCTTCAGAATTAGCTGGGCTGGTTTTGGGAAGTGGATTTCCTACAGACTGCTGCTGAATGGCTCTGCACACAGGCACAATGATATTAGTGGAACTTCACTGGAGAGAGGCTTTATTTTTTGTTCAGCTTCCTGTTCCTGCCTACAGCTCTCAGGAATTACTGTAATACGATAATCAGGAACATTAGTTAACGTTTCCCAGCATATATTTCTGAGAATTATACGTATTTGATGCGAGGCTGTACAGGGATTAACTAAAAATGCAGCAAAACCATATGCAATCACTGCTAATACACTGTCCTGGTAGCTCTGAATTGCAGAACCACCCTGTGATAAACCATAATAAACAGATGTATGTGGGTTTCCAGAGTGTGGGACTCAGATAAAAGGGCAAATCCTCTTTCATGATGTAGGGAAGAACTCTTGGAGTGGTCTGCAGCTGGGATAGCTGGGGATGTCAGTGCTGGCCAAGGTCAGGCAAAGGCACAGCCAAATTATCAAGCGGCACCATCCATCTGCAGCAGCAGCTCTCAATGGAGTAAATAATGAATGTTCTTGCTGGAGCAGCTCATCCCAGCTTGACTTTCTCCTCACCCTGTCACTTCTGGACTCAAGGAGACACAAAGAAAGCTTAATGCTACTTTTGCTGCAGCCCCAGGAGCTGAGCATGGCTGAAGCTACAGAAGGGGGAGATGTCCTCTCACAGCACCACATGTTATTAAGAGAGAACCTCATTATTCCCAAGTGGATCAAAGCTAAGTTGAATCATATTTAATGCACAAAGTAAACTGACTCCTAATAAAACTATTAATTTTGAGCTGAAACAAAACTGAGGATGGTAAGCCACTGGCAAACACAGTGGAATTTTTTGTACAAAAATGGGAAGGGTTCTCCCACTGCTCTGGATTTGCTCCAGGAGCTCTGTGCTGGAGCACAGAAGCTGGATCAGATCATGTATTTGGGCAATACCAAACAGGAGTGGCAGACGGGGAGAAGATAATGAAACATATTCTTCAAACAGCAACACTAGAGAGTATTTGGATAGAATAGCAACGCTCAGCACTCATAAAACTTTGTAGCTTCACTGGTTTTTTTGGCAAAATATATTTACTATATTGAAACAAATCACAGAACATTCACAGGCAGCCACATTTTCTACGTGTTCTGTAAAACAAAGGATGAACAGATCATCTTTCCCGTCTGTCTGGGTTTAAATGACTTCCATTGATGAATAATTTTTAAAACATCAGTATGCCAATGGTAATATGAATGATGATAATTTTCAGATGTTTTTAATTTGCAGTTGGAGATAAAAATACACAAACCCATTTCAATATTTTTTACATGCAGATAATAAACGTGCTTCTTCTACTGATTATCCCATTGATTTAGGGTAGAGACATTCATGTATCATTACATAATTTTATTTAATGATTGTTATGTCTATGGGTAAGATGTCTTATTCCATTTAATATGTTACATCTGACTGAAGGCCAGGGTGGCTTCAATGAAAAAAAATGCTCTGCCTAACATGTTAGTAATAGCTCGGTTTCCCTATTTGTCCTCAGAATTTGAACACAAAGTAAAATAAGTCTACATTTCTTTAAAGCATGCAGCTGAAACACACATATTTGCATAAGCTGCAACACTGAGTGAATGGCAAAAGCCATGCAAACCACCAAGCACGAGGAATGCACTGCGGAGGGTGGAGAGGTAAAACGGAAGAGATGGAAAGGGGAAAAAAAAAATAAACCATGCATCCATGAAAGCAATGGCAGGCACTGGTGGAAGAGTAAGTGAACACCTCAAGGTGCAGAGAAAAAAAGGACAGATACCTACCCCAACCTGTGCTATCTAGCTACCGACCTGTGGACTTATAGTATCACCAGTTGGCTCACCAAAGGGATCACTGTTGGAGGAGGCCTGAGACCCATCAGGCTAGAATACAAGAACATAACACCTTTTTTTCTCAACAATAGAAAGTGAAAAGTCAACACGAGGTTATTTTCATGCTGTGGGCATAACAAGTACATCCTATCTCATGAAAACCAGAGAGCGAGGCCTCGCCGCTCTCCAAAGCGGTTTCCTACAGCTGCTGCAGGCACCAAAGGACTTCACCAGTTCCTGCTGGAGCCCAGGCAGGAGCTGCCACAGACTTCAGAAGGTACTGGATCAGGGCAACCAAAACTGCAAAAGGCCCTGAAAGCCATGGAAGACAGTCCAAGCTTGGGTTATTTTGCACTTTTTGTTGTACCGACCCCCTCTTGCTTTGGCTCACTCGGGCTCCTCCCTCCCTAAGACATCTGGTGATTTACAGTCATTGCCGGATATCATTTCTTGCTTTGGTCCATAAAGGCAAAGAAATCACATAGAGAGGGCCAGAACATTGAGGAACGTAGCTAGGCAGGCAACTGGGATGCAAGAATGTGCAAGACAAAATCAACCATCATCTTTTAAAACACAAACTCTCACATCTTTCTCTGCAGCCTCAGCATGTTTGTCGTTTTGCCCCAAACTTCCTTGCCATGAGTGAAGTGACTGCTGGTGTGCTAAAGAGGACATTGGATACATCTAACAAGTACAGCCTTACATATGAGCTGTGAGTTTGGTTCCTTGTATGCAGTGTTAGTGCACATCAGCAGAAATGCTGTGCTATCAGCTGCCAAACCCAAAGCAGGACGGGAATTCTGGCTGCAGCTCCCCCAAAAGCACCACCCAGCCCTACTGGAAAGGTTGTTTCTGACACTACAGAACAACATTTAATCAGCCTTTATCTTTTCTAGTTAAAAGGAGACAATGAAGATTTAGAAACCTCCTTGCTACTCACAGCCTCTGGCTCCTCACTTTTGCTTGGGCTTTCAAACCCCTCTTCAAAGAGGTCGTCTGCAGCAGGGTCACTCGTATGAGATGCTGATGATTTTGATGGAGAACTCTGTCTGGGTGCAGGGGTTGGAGCTAAACAAGGATTAAGGCAACAGCAACAATTATTCTCCCGATTTCTTCAAAAAGACAGCACAAAATTTGCTCATGCTTTTGCATCCCTCAACTTTCCCCACCCCTGAGAATCATTCTCTAATGAGCACAGTTGTCATTATCAATCCCATGTATTTGATTTCATTTGGAAACTTCCAGATTAAGTTTGGCTGCATCTGGCTTATGTCTTTATGAACCTGGGAGACACCACTAGATTGCATCAGGAGTGAGTCCCCTGTCCTGTGGCAGGTAAGTGAAACAGGTCTATGACTGACCCCTGCTCAATCTCATGAATTCTTCTTCTCAGCAATCTGCAAATCCCCCATCACCATGCTATGAACATCATAAGCTTATTTTAATGAATTTCACCACGTGTCCAATATGTCAAAATAAATACCCATCCCCTAATTACTGAGAAGTATGGATGGGAAATAAGTGAAACCAATTTTAAGGTTGAATGCCATGGGCTTCTGCCAACAGGCTTGCATGTTCCCATCACAAAACAAATACTACAACATTTAATTTTAGAAATTAAATTTCAGACTGTAGCTATCTGGGCTGTTCATTTTTATGACCTCTAAAATTCCTCTCTCATATTTTCCTTTATGGCTGGAACACTTTTCTTAAGCCAGAGCACGCATGAAGGTTCTCAGTATCTGGGTTGGAATTTAAAAAGAGATGCAAGTCATGTCTGAGGAAAGGGATGGCTGAAAGCACATAAATACTCACGTGAATTTGTAGATGGTGTCGTGGAAGTCACAGGAGTCAAATTTAACTGAGAGATGTCAAAGTCATCACAATCATCTGCTTCCTGTGCCATCCCAACTTTGTTAAAGTAACTTGAGAAGGCCTCTGAGGTACAACTGAGGGAAGGCTGATCTGGTTTTCTTGATGGCACTGGTGGAGGCTGAGCCATCTGGAAATCTTTAAACATTTCTTTTCCCATTTTCTGTCTGGGCCTGTCTGTCTGCGGACTCGATCTGTTGGAATCGCTCGTGGGTGGGACGGTGGCTATAGGAGCAATGGTACCTTGAAACATGGCTGCTTGTAAAGGCAAAACAGTTTGTGTTGGCATGAAGGCAGCGGGCTGGAACTGGCCAGCCACAGATGGCCACGGCTGCTGGGTGGGAGGAAAGATGCCGGGCTGGCCCCACGCGATGGGCTGTCCTCCCTGCATCACCTGAGCGACCGGAGCCTGGGCACCCATGGCCAACTGCTGTTGAACAAGTGGTTGCTGTCCCCAGAAGGAGGGCAGGACAGCTCCCATGGCAACATAACCTTCAGGGAATAAAGAGAGCAGGAAACAAAGGGGATGGAAGATTTTAATGGCGCCGTGGAGAGCACGCAGGGAAAGCGACACGGTAACTCAGAAAGGCGCAGAGCTGCACCAGCGATAGCAGAGCTGGACACACTCACAAAGAAAACACTGAATTCACATCAGTGCACAAGTACTCACAGACAGAACCACGGCCTGGTGGACTCTGCAAAGCAATCATCTCAAATTGCATCGTAATGCTGCTACTACTACTACTAATAAAGAAATCCAACCCAGCTGATTTCAGATTAAAACCCTCACACTTGGTTATTACCCAATTACTTGAGAACATCAAAAAGATCTTGAGCTTCTGCTGCACTAAACACCTATTAACAACAAACTGCTTCAGGTATTAGGCTAACATAACCCCCTCCAGCTGAGGAGGAAATTAATGATTAAAACCAAAATTATAATTGCTTCCTGTCAGACCTGAAGCCTCCTTTAAAGCTACCAAGGGTTTGACTGCGTAGGAATTATAGGATCAGGTGCTTTTTTATTTACAACAACAACAAAGTGCTCTGAAACTAAAACTCCTGTAAAACATTTTACAAATTAAACTACCTAACATAATTGTGTTCCACTGATATAAGTACTGTGCTTTACAGATATGCTGTTTCACATTTAAATTCAATACTTAGCACTAATACTTTGCATAATGTAATTTCTCTCTCAATTTTAATACTGTTATAGCTTTAAAACTTTTGTTTCCAACCTGAGTGTTTCCTCAGCCCTCCTGTACTTTTTCCTCTTTCCCATATTTCTAGGCTGTTTTGTAATCACAAACATAAGGGTGGCTGCTATATGGTATAGGGAAAAACCTGAAACTCAATAAAATTAAGAAATAAAGAACTGAACTTTGAGAGACCTAGTTCCTGAGTGATGGAAGGAGCAGTAGCTCAGATACATTTCCATTCCAACAGATATCCAGGATGGATTCTGCAGATGTTCTTTGATCTTGCCCCCACTGTGACCCCATCCTGGCAGAGAAGGTTTCCATCTGACATTATCCCCAAACACCTCACTGCCACTGTAACCTGCCTCAGGTGCAGTGGCTAACCTGGTGCCATCAGAGGAGGTAAGCAATTAGAAAGTCACTGCTGAATTACTCAAGGCACTCCTCCTCCTCTTCCTCATCCCTTTCCTTTCCCTTTCCCTTGCCTTGCCTTTCCACGTAGGGATGAGAGCACTGGGAGAGATCAGCCATCAAATCACAGTGTCTGTGCAGAATGTACCCAGCCTTTGAATTTTGAGCACTCTGAGGAACCCAGAGAAGTCTAGAGGACACTCCAGGATTTGACAAAATGGAAAACTTTTGAAGTGCAATCAAATTCTCAGCCTCTGTTTACTGGAGACAGCAGAGGATATTCACTGTTACCACAGAACCCACAACATTTAAACTAAATGCTGTTTAATCTCTTGTTCCTGTACCTGCAAGTTCTGTTATCCAGGTGGCTGAACTGTGCTTGAACTCCCAGTGACTTTTTTGGATTCTGCTTTATAAAATGTAAGCAAATTCAAACTAATGTACTCCCTGCTTGTTAAAGCCTTGCCCTGAAGCACTGACCTCAAAAGCCTTCCCCACTTCCACCCTGCTAAAATCAATGCCCCGAGTACTGAAATGCAAACCAGAGCTGGGCACTGATCCCCAAATCTGATTCCAGACTTGAATTCCAGTGCATTTCTTACCTGAGGGTACGGCAGCAGTGCTGAAAGGTACAGAACCAAACATGTCTGTACTAGCAGGGAGTGACTGGGAAGAAGATGGGATAAAGGCATCACCTGGAGTAGCAGGAGTCTGCAGGGAGACAGGCAGAAAACACAAGGGTGATGTACCAGCTGCAGCTTCTGCTGCACACTGCTGTCACATCACCTGGAGCTCTAAAAATCAAGGTTAGGAGTGAAGAATGTCAAAGAAGAAAGAATGGGAAGATGTAGAAGGAAAGAAGCAATAGAAATAAAAGTATTAGAATTTGCTGGGGATGGGAGAGAAAGAAACAAATAAAGAAACTTTCTATCAGATGAAAAAAAAAAAAAACAAGGTGAAATTTGCCTGGAATATATCAAAACCAAAATACTGATATAATTTCTTTCTCCAGAACATACAGACTTGTGATTTTAGCTGTCAGATGACAAAAGTGAAAGGCAGTGATCAAGGCATTAACTTTAAAATTATTATTAACAGTTAAGGTAAATGAGATATCTACAGGATTTATGGAAAACTGAATAAATATTGCTTCTAATTAACCAACAGGACCAGAATCATAGATCTACATTAAAGGAGAAGCCAAATCCAATTGAGTAAGCTGAGGATGAGCAGCAAGGGCTTTGAACATCTAGTCCCAGACATGACCCAGACTATACTGGAGATCTGAGGCACCTGGCCTCATAGCACCTGAATTTTATCAGTATATTCACACTTCCCTACAGCTTAATGTAAGGCTCAAAAGCTTTATATGAAAATTTTTTGTCATCTTATAATGCTGAAAAACATGTTGAGACATTATTTTTTGCCTTGAAAATACATCCAGCCTTTTCCCTCCCTGTCTTTACTTCCCTCCTTTAAAAGCAGTTCTGGGATCTGTGCTTGGTGCATCCCGAGACATGAAACATGAGGCTGGAACTGGATCTTCTGCAGTGCAGTGAGAGTGCAGTGAAGCATTTCCCTCTGACAAAAGCCAGGGAAGAGGATTTGCAGCTCAAGTTGCAGATCAGAAAAATAAAAATCAAAGGTAATTTTGCACATCGTCGTGAAGCAGGGACTGCACATTCCACTTACTTCACTTCTATTTTGCTGCAACCTAAAAACTACTTTGAAATCCTCCCCACTGGAATGGCTGAGGACACAAACTGTAAATGTGCTCAATAAATGTGCTGAAAATAGCATGCAGGGAAAAACACAGTGCAGTTTCCTTGGGTACTCACTGGGGGAGAGGTTACATCAGGAGGAGTGGACATGTCCCCAAAAAGCTCTAGTTGGGTAACAGCCTGTAAAAAGAAAAAAAAAATTCCATTTATCTTTTGAGGAGAAGAAACTGTAAGTAGTTACAACTTGTAAAGTAGCAGCAAACAAAATAAACCTCCCCCAAGTCCTGCAGGCTTCAACTGTGAAGTCCCACATGGGGGATGCACACAGGCTCAAGCTGTGTGATTTTAATATTGCTAATGGACCCAAACAGCCAACAAATCCTATAAAACAATTCTGTAGGGAATTCTCCAAAATGAACAAAAATGCATAAAACATGAAACAACTACCCAGGACAGGACTGGATGCATTTCTGCTCTGCCTTTAACATCAGTGAGTTCCAAGCATGATTTATGGCCAGTCCTTTTCCCTGGCTCTTCTTCTAAACTCTCAATTCAAGGTCTTAAAGCATGGCAGCAGCACGTGGAGTGCCAGCAGGGTACAGAAGGGAAGGGCTTTTAAAGTGCTGCCTGATTTCCCCTTGCCCATGGGACAGGTGTGACCTGGATAAGTGGACTTGAAGGAGGATGCACAACTGGGTTATTGCAAGTTTGTGGCTCTACATTTAATTCTTGTTAGAAATATTTCCTCAGGACGCCCTTCACTGGGAGCTCAAAACAGGTCACCCATGCAGGCCTGGCTAACTGGACCAGAAGAGAAAACACATTTTATTATAAGAAGTAACTTGAGTGGCCGCATAATCAAAGCTCCTTCACATCTTCTAGAGCAACTTTACTCCCTCCCACCCACCTGCAAGTGAGTTCAGCTGGAGTTCAGGGTGTTAAAGCACAAATCCCTCCGAGCTCTGCAGGAAACCCAAACCCCACCCAGCACCCTCATCACGGGGGTGATGTTGGAAAGCTCTGGTGAGAACCCAGAACCTCTCCTCACCACCTTTCTCACTGGTTTTCCCAGTACCACACCCACGAAATGTGGGAAGGCACAATTCTCATTATGAACAAAATTTAATGCAAATCTTAGTTTAGCTCATTGAATCTCCTCCCCATCTCAGGCAGATAAACCTTGGATCCTCCTATCACAGGTCTGACATTCAGTTGAGTCTTGTCCTGCAAAAGCAGCCCCTGAATGCTTTGGACAGTAACCAGACTGGCAGGTCAGGCTTTACAGCCCTCCAGGAGACCAAAATCACCCCAAGATTTCTTCCTGCCTTTAACCTTCCATTACAAATTATCCCTTAAGGAGTAAGACTACACACATCAATATATATATATATATTTATTATAATATATATATTATATATTATATATTATATATTATATATTATATATTATATATTATATATTATATATTATATATTATATGCTATATAGTATATAGTATATAGTATATACTATATATTATATAGTATATAGTATATAGTATGTAGTATATATTATATATTTTTTTTCAATCCAGCCTCTATTCCCACACATAAAAGCAACACCACAATCACTTAGAACTGGAATTTATCTAAGCAGCTCTGTTGATTCTCAGCTTCATGACATGATGTACCCAGGGATGAATTATCTCACATTTTCTCACATGATTTTTCATATTAAAAAGATCACATTGCTCTAGTGCGGTGACAGTGCATTTCCTTCTTATGGGTTTAGATATCCCTCTGAGTGTCTTCATGGAAATGCAGAAGGGAAAAAGAAGGAAAGCAATGTTTTCTTCAGGGTACACCAATTCTAATACTCTGTGGGAAAATGCTGCCAGTAGTAGCTTTTGAAAAAAAACCCAAACAAGCAACAAACTCTAAGACCCTTCTGCAGAGTGCACAAACAGGCAAGGGTTGTCAAAATGCCCAGGAAAGTGGGAATAACAACAGCAGCACTCATTTGGAAATCACTTCAAGCCTCCTATAGGCACGACTGACTCAAGAGGTGTCAGGTGACACTGAAATACTCCAAGAGCCACTTTCTTCCATCTCTCCAAACTGCTTTGTTTAGCAGCACCCCAAACCTGCCCTTCTCCTGCTCCCCTGAGGAACTATTCACTGTTTTCTCCTAAGGAACAAACATTTGTGTCCTTTCCATGAGCAAAAGGGAGCAATGAGCAAACCAGGGAGGATGGGAAGGGCAGGGCACACACAGCTGTGTGCAGAGCTATAAATTTTTTTTTTCCTCTGTGGAAAAGATAGCGTAGGTTTCACAGGAATACTGGAAATTGATAGTCAGTATACTTTTGAACTCTGGATTATATGACATGCATCTGAACGGTGGTAACTCAAATCCCAGTGCCTCCATACTCCTGGATAATAGGAATATTAATACTTTTCAGAGTGCTTCAAGGTGATGGATCTTTGGATACTCTTCACAGATATAATTCTGTTAAAGCTCTGCAGGCACATTTCTAAACAGGCAGCTGGAGAGAGTGATAGAAAAGTCAACAGCATTTTGTTATAATAAACCCTCACTCACAATATTCCCCAGGAAAAAGAAATACATTTACAGGGGAATTATTTTTTTACAGAATAGCAACCCCATATGCAACAGGAGCTACAGAACCACATCAGAGAATGGAAACACAAATTCAGTGGGAACACACCACCTTAATTTACTGACTGGAGCTTTAAACAGCAACCCTTGGAGGTGCATTTTAGAGTCCCAAATGGTTCAGGAGTCTTTTTTCTACTTCTTAAGTTCTCAGCCTGAATAAATGAATGCATCTTCTCTGACACAGAGCTGCCTTTATCTACTTGCAGCACGTGAGATCCTGGACACCAAGCACTTATCTTTTATTTCTGTGATTTCACTGTCACTACAGAACTGATTTCACCCCTTATGCTTCATTAAGATTATTCACATCTGATATTAGCTACGTTCCAGTGAAGCTAATCCCAAGCTGAACATTTTCCAACTGCACTATTCCAATAGATGATTTCAGCTATATTTCCTTAAAACATTTTTTAGTGTCACAACCTTACCTGAGTGACTGAAACAAGATTTTCATCAATGTCCAGCAATAAGTTTCCATTCTCCAGCTGTAAAGCATGATTTATGAAATGAGATGAATGATTTATGAAAATGACATGAATTTCTGAGCATGAAAATGATAACCTCCATAATTATTGACTTCAGCATTGAAATGAAAACCCTTTCCATCTTGCTGTGAGCACAGATCTGAAATCAGGCAGTCAAAACAGTGAGTCTGAATGCTGCTGGGATGTGGGGCAAACATACACTTCATTTTGCTAAATCTCATCTTCTGGTGTATAAAGCAATTTTACCACTTGTGACACACCTATTTATTTTCCTAAATATTTATTAATTCAGAAGTAAGCATACCCAGTGAGCTCTGATCCTGCTTATATTAATGGAACTTTTCCCTGGCTTGGTGAAAGAAGGGATTTAACATCCTCAGGGGAAAAAAGAATGATTGAGTTTTGGATGACAAAAGCTTTAAAACCCAGTTATCTTCAGAAAAAAAACACACATTTCTCTAACTAAGGAAACTATAACATCAATGTAAACATAATTAGATAATTATTTTCTTTCTGTAGCAATTTTGAAAATTACATGAGTCAATTCACATTGTATTTAAATCTATAGTTTGTGTGTGTGTATGCAAATATATGTGGGGATATACAGCCTTAACCTCTGCACATATCTGTATCCATCCACACACTTAGCACATATTATCCCTTCAGAAGGCTAAATTTCAGGTAACATTTATTATAGTCTTGGAGACTTCATTTCTGCAGACACAAACAACAGCAAGCTGTCGAAAATCAAGTCCAGGATGACTGAGAAGCTTTCTACAAGTTACCAACCAGTAATTTCATGTCACTTAAAAAACTCATAAACAGCCTAGAATGCTTTTCCCCCACCCTCATCTCATCACAGAGCTCAAGAAAAGAGAAAAAAAAAAACAAAAAGAGTGTGAAAAGGCAAAGCCAAAGTAACATAAGGTCACTGTGCACAATCAGGAAGAGATATAGCCCTGCACTTTCTTGGAGCTGGCCCTGTGTCCCCCCAGCTCCAGGTGAGGAAAGTGTGAGAAAAGCTGTGTCCTTTTACTCAGAGAACTCCAGAGACTTTGAAAATGTCCTTTAAATGACAGCAGAATGCTTTCAGAGGGCCCAGTTTTGGCCAGCAGTTCATCACTTTGTGCTCTGACAGAAGCCTTGTTCATCCCCCACCCTCCAGCACCAGAAGCCTGGAGAGATGCTCCAGCTCCTGGTCTTTCTCCAGGTGAGGATTCCTCCACAGGGTGATGCAAAAGCTTGGTTTAATTCTGCCAGAAGTCATGGTGTTGGATGTGAAACCCCCTCCAGCTCAGCCAGCCAGGAGCTCCCCAGCCCCTCAGGCACAGCCGGGGCGGAGGAAGGACAATTAATCCTTGTAGCCCAGTGACATTAAATCTGTCATGAATGCTCCATCTTCCTGCACAGGCAGGTGAGATATACTGTAAATCTTTCAAACACAAAACATGTAAATCTGGTCCTTAAAGAAGCAGCACCACTCCAAGCCAGGCACAGTTTAAACCACATCAAGCTGGTAGCAGAATTCCTCGTTGTTGGAATCTGAGGTATTGATAATTCTGAGATTGCAGAAAGTCTCTGTCTGTCAGCCCCGCTGCCAAATCAAAGCCATAATTGGTCTGTGCTGGTTTCCAGGTTGTTTATTCTGTTTATCTCTAACATGTTCTGCTGCCCTGCCCAGCTCTGTCCTGCAGGGCAGCGTGTGGGGCTCTGCCCTCAGTGGGATGTGACAAACATTAAATACCAGAAACTCCCTGGGCTGCATTTACAATAACGTGCCAATATCTGTCACCTACATTGGACAGTGTGTCCCCAGCCTGAACCAACAGAAAAATGCCAACACCACAGTGAAACATGGAGGGCATGAAGAAGAAGAAAAAGGACAAGGCACACCCCATTTCCTCCATCTTGTGCCCTCTGAACCCCTAATCTAGAATCCTAAAATTTTACTTTTGCACCCATGCCACACTTAATTATTACTTATATGAAACACTCAGAGCTGGTAATTCATCCTGTAAGATTGAAAACTCTTTTCCATGGACAGAGATCACAGCCAGTGTCTCTGGGGGCTCTGTCCAGGGGGGTTCCTGACCCCTGCCAGGGTCCCAGACCTTCCAGGGCAGCCAGAGGGAAGCCCTGCATTCCCACACCTCATGACACTTTTTACTATTCACTAAAAAGCAACTTATTATCCAGGAGCCGGAGAAAACTCCAGAGTGCACAAGCAATGGTAATCACAGAATATCCTGAACTGGGAGGCACCCATAAGGATAAAAGACAAGTGAGCTACAGCTTTCATAAACCACATAAAACTGACCCACTTCCACTCCAGTACTCCCTCTGATCACCAAGTCCTCTGAAAAACATATTTTCTAAACAATGCAGAAGATCAGAATTTTAAAGGGACATCTCAAACAGGGCTCCTGTGCTCACATGAGTGTGAAGCACCTTCTTCTTTCACTCCCATACACATACCAAGACAGAATATCCAACTTCTGTTACTCAGTCTGTTTTTCACCAGCAGCAAGGGATCTATGCTGACATATGGCACGAGAAAACCTGCTTAATACTGCTGTACTTTTGCAAACAAGATGATGAAAGTAGCATCTCACAAAACGTGGTTTTGCAATCTCAGAATGGAGCAAAGATGGTGCTTAAGAGCACGAAAAAAAAATGTGGTAATTAACTTGTACTCTACTACACAGCTCAGCAAGAAAAAAGAGTACGAAGAATACTAAATATAGCAAATAAGCAGCAATTAGTAATTAACCTTTGAGCTGGGTATTAGCTTTTCAACTCTTTTAAGGCAGCAGAGGGGTTTACACTTGGTTTCTTGTACTCAGGGTGAGGGCTATACCACACAGCTCAGCAGACAAAAGAGGAGTCACCCAAGCACAGCCTCTCTGCATCTCCAATTCCCCTCTTCTGACATGGATTTTACAGGGCAGTCTAATGCCAAGTCAAACGGTTGGTCAAACTAAAGATTTCCTATCTTGTTTCAGTTGAACATGTAAAGGCTTTGGCTATGACAAATAACTTTTCTGATGGTTCAAATAGTTACTGCAGCTCAGCAAAGCCCCAGTTGTTTGCACCTTACACCACAACTGTTGATATTGCTACAAGCTCCATGAGCTGCAAGCAGTTTGCTAATTAGCCACAACTCATTCTAGAAAAACAATTAAAACCGCAGTGAAGGAGCATGTCAGCATTGTCACTAAACCCATCATCAGTCAAACCATGTCTGCTAGGTTGAGACATCCCAAAAACATCCTACAGACATTGTTTTCCTGTAAAACTATTGCTGAATTAAGGAAGCGGCATGGAACTCAACAAAGAATTGCTCAATTACTTCCCAATTAAAGAGAATACACAGAAGAATGTGTGTCAAGAAAAAATTGTCAATGTCTTTGCAATCTCCAGCTTCCTGAAGATCCTAAAGATCCTCATATGCCACAAACTTACCCAGTCAGAGATTGCTGTCACCAACCTAGATCTACAGAGGTACAGTTGAGCACAATCCTTCCATTTTAAGGCTGCTGTGAACATTTCATTGTGGAATCAAGAATGGTTTGGGGTGCAAGGGACCTTAAAGCTCATCCAGTTCCACCCCCTGCCATGAGCAGGGACACCTTCCACCAGATCAGGCTGCTCAGAGCCCCATCCAGCCTGGCCTTGAACATTTCCAGTGATGGAGGCAATTCCCAACCAGTACAGGCCATGTCAGCAACATGGGCTGCCATAAAACCACTGATGGATTTTTATCCAAAATCCAGGCATTTTGGGCATCTGACACTGCACAGGGTAAAAATCCAGTGCTCTGAATCCCATGGGATGTGGGATTTCTCCTGTTTGAAGTTCCTCTTTGCAGTTTCACAGGGTAACTCTGAATTAGTGGTCACAACCATTCTCCTTCAGAGAATTCTCCTGAAGCCACAAGTCCTGGGTGTGATGTGCCCAATTACAGGGCAGCCTTGAGCTTCACTGCATTCCCCAGCTGCCCAGTTCCTTTTCTTTGGTGACTGGGAAGCCCTGGATGTGCTGGTTAAACATCCTGTTAGTCAGTCCTGCACAGCTGAAGAATTGGGACTGTTGGATATAATTGACATCCCAGATTACTGAGGCATGTTGAGGGAATTGAATTGCTCCACTGTTGCTCGATAGCTTCCCTTAAATTAAGGAACTCTTCATATGATCAAAACAGACGCTTACTCATTTGTTTATTTGCTCTTCATTTGCAGGGAACTTAATTCTGAATTCCCTGTATACTTGGGGTATTTACTCTTATAGGAAATGCTATTTAAAATGCTTCAATTATCACTTTTCTCTGACAGACTCTAATAAATCAAGAGACCTCCAGAGTGACTCCAGCTTGAAGCCAGGCCCACACTGCTCCCAGGCTACACATTCCCAAGATAATCAAACTTCCCAGGCACTGAGGCTGCTGGTGCCAAGGTCCCAGGACAGGGAAAGTTGAGCCCTTTAATGTCAGGATCACAGCCTGGGGACAAGGGGTGGCTTCCTTTAACTGTGGGAGACACAAGAGATGATGAGAACCCAGACTTCCATGTGGGAGCCAAACTCCACTTCTGGACTGAGCCAGGATGCTTGCAGGGAATAAAGTTAACAGGAAAGGAATAAGGCACAACCTCATATTTATTACTTAAAATCCTTGCAAGGCACTCTTTGACATGTATATCTATTGCTTTTCAAAACAACAGGTGATTGCAACTCGACCAAACTTCAGAAATAAGTTATTTCTATCTTCATTACTAAATACCTTCTTCATCATGGTACTTTCCAAACTTTGAAAACCCATGAGTTTCAGCAGGCAAAAAAGCCAAAACCTGTGTATTTCTGTATCAAATAATGTAGGGTAGCACCCAATGAACCTGCAAAGATTCAACCCCACATTGTGCAAATGATGCAATTTCAGGCATAAAGTGATGCAGATCAGGTAAAGCTGCAAACTTCACTACTTAGAAAGCTGGTTGTAAATAAAC